CGGCCCTTAAAGCCACACCAGGACGAAATGGGACCCCTGTTCCCTGGCAGCCAGGCCAGGAGCCTGGGCCCAACCCTCGGAACTTCCCTTTGGTTCCTCATAAATCAACCAGCTGCCAGGTGTGTGGCTCTTGACCTCTTGGTGCCCTGGGTCCCCACCTATCCCTCTCCCCCCCCGCCCGGCTTAGTTCAGAGCTGTCTTCTGTCCCTAGGGCTTCTGTGGGGGGCTCTGGAGTGGTCTTCCTGCCCGCAGGCTCCCCCTGCATACCTCTAACATCCTGCTGACTAACTTGGAAACCTTGCCTGGCACTTGAATAAATGGCAAGCAATTCAGCATTATGCAGTAAAAGTCATAAAAATACCCACACTTGTTAAAACCAACTAATTTCACTTCTAGGAATCAATCCTAAATAAATTTTATATTCAGAAAATGGTAAGGGATGCCTAAAATATTCAAAAGCAGCATTACTTATGCTAAAACCTTAGAAGAATGACTATCTTTCTATGGCACATTAACGTGACTGAAGTATCAAATATTCACCAATGACACTGATAGAGAATCAATTGAGTTTGTCTATTACGGTATCTAGGATTTATGACATCAGACTTAAAAATATGTCTGGATTTTAAAATAACAATTATGTGGGAGAGGGCAATCATTTTCCAAAGCAACTATGAGAGACCTGTTTTACCGCCATTTGGGAAATCAGCTATTAAGAGAAACAAACAGTGGTTTTCAGTAATGAGATTAAGTAAAAAAATCACAACTGAACTGCAGATATTTACTTGTGAACATATTTTCTTTCCGTATGTGGTTAGTTCTGGGTAGCACTCTCCTAAAAGTGACAACACAGAATTATCCATTATTGATGAGCAGTGGGGGTGCGGGGACCCAAGTGGGCACTGCTAGTGAAGAGCAACTCTCAAAATCCTTGCAGTAATACCAAGTAAAGTAAAAGTCACCTGGCTATCTCTCTGCAGACAAAATACAATTTAAGTGGCATTTAAAAATTTATGTATAGAAAATATTCTATGAAGAACCAACCACAAGAGGGGGACTTCCAGTGGTTAAGAATCCATGGGTCCCTTGCAGGGAGCATGGGTTCGATCTCTGGTCAGGGAACTAAGATACCACACAGTGTGCGGGGCAGCAAAAAAAAAAAAGAAAAAGGAAGACGGGGGAAAAAAAAAAACCATGGAGAATCCCAAATAACATAGTTAAAAACACAGCTCAAAATGGATTAAATATGAACTATTTAATAAGACATAATATTCAGAAACACATTAAGTAGCACGAGAGGTATAAAAACCATCTATGACCAACTCCGTAGCGACACACGGCCCCACCATCGCCTTGCACTGGGATAAAGCTGGATGCTTTCTCCGCTCACATCCTTCCCCCGCTTGCAAGATGCATCACTCCCAGCCAGGAGGTGGGAACTCCCGGCCCTGAGGACGGAGCAGGGGAGGCCACAGGCTGCCATCGGGACGGGAGGGTTGGTCACGTTCCCAGGGGACCAGCTGGCTGCACACATCCCAGCAGATGGGCCGGTCCTACCCTGTTTCCACTGATCTTTATTTTTCCATCAACACATCACCTGTTTTCAGCCTTCACCATGGTGACTGCAAACAGTTATTTCGGACACGACTGGACACTAAAATAACTTAGCTTGTGCTTGGGTACTAGGCCTACAGATGTTTTTCCTGCGTCTCATTTTTTCCAGTATTTTCCAGATTAAAGACTAAGTGCTGCTTTTGAGACCAAAAGAGGGGAAAGTTGTTTACAAGGAGAACACCAGCGCTGGCCCCTCAGCCTCCACGGGGGTTGCTAGCAGGGAAATCGATTGACAATCCCAGCACAAATGTCTCTCCTCTCCCCTCCTCCCCCCTCGTCTCTGAAGGGCTGCGAAGCCCGTGTCTGTGCCGCCCTCCCGGATCACGCCGACACCCCATCAGCCCCCCGAACCAGCTCACGGTCAGAGCTCCTGACGCCCAGCGCCGCGCTGGCTCGCTGAAGAGTGGATGGCCTCGCACGGCGCTGGGCTCAGCTACAGCGAGGGCAGGACGGAATGAGCACAGAAGGAGCAAGGTCCACACCCTAGTCCAGCCCACCCGCAGACGGCCTTCCCTCTACGGGGAAAGGTGAAAAAGATGGAAGGGTCTTCGGCCCAAGCCCCGGCTCCAGGGTTGCGCCCGCGGACATCTTATACCAAGTTTCCCTAAGTCACCTTAAAGAGAAAGATAACGATGAAGAAGGTTCTTAAGGCCTCTGAGCTAACATGGCTTAGAAATGCCAGGCTCAGATCAAGACCTGAGATCAGAATTCTCAGTTGGGGCGAAAGACAAGGGACCAAACATACTGGTTCCAGAAGTGACTGTGCCAAGCCAGTTCTAGACACACACACACGCACACAACACTAAGGTCGATGCCCCTTTAAACTCAGGGAGATGGGAGACGCTGGGGAGGCAGGGACAGTCCATCCTCACTCTACCTGCTCCCCCTTTTGAGAATCATCAGCACGTGGGCCCTGAAACGAAAACTACCGGGAGCACCCGGCTTCCCCCAGGGACCCCGGGCGACATGCTCTTTACCTGTAACACAGAGACCAGTGCGGGGGCTGTCCGAGGATGCAGGGAGGAGATTGGCACCGGCAAGAAGCCGACCATGTGTCTCAGGCAAGCAGAGGGGCCCGTTAAAGCGCATAAGCGCCCTGCCAGACGGGCCTCGGGCGGGAGGCGGTCCCTGGCAGAGGCCCTTTGTCAGGCGCTGCTGAGGACAAACAAGGACCGGTGGTCTCTGACAAAGCTCCGCACTCACACCCTGAGCCTTATCTGCGCTTCCCACACCTCCTGTGTCAACAAGCCTGAGAGCCGCAGTTCACAAACTTCTTCACACTGAGTTCCAGCTAAGGGTTGTTGGGTCTGATCCAAGCGAACGGAAGAATCGGCTTTTTGCCATAAGCCAGGCGGGCTGAGGTCCGTGGGGTTGCAAAAAGAGCCAGACACGCCTTAGCGACTAAACAACAACAGTCTAACGTAAGGTGTGTAAAGGTTTGCGAGAGGTTAGATGTGTTTTCTCACGCGGCCCAACCAAGCGTGCATTTCCTGTATGTCTGGGACAGCATCTTCTGATCTGCCTAAAAAAGAACACCGCAGCATCTGCTGACCACAGAAGAGCATTCTGACCTAGACAGCTCCAGGGAAGAGGCAGCCAAGCTTGCCGATGTCCCAGGATCTCCATGGCGCAGCGCTGCCCTCGGTAAACACGAGGAAAGGCCCCCTGGCCAGGCGGAAAGGTGGGGAGGGGGGAGTCTCAGGAAGGCCAGACAGTTCTTGAGAAGTGTGAGGTGGGCAGTGAGGAATAACGCTGAGAAGGTAAAATCTGAATCCTGAGTCACAGGGGGCCGGCGCTGACCAGCTAACTTACCAGAAAGGAAGAAAAGAGAAACATCGGGGTGTAATCAGATGAGTTAAGAAACCTGGACTCTAGTCCCAGCCCTACCTAAATCTAGACCTGTGAACCTGGATAAATGAAAGTGAAAAAAAGTCAAAGTGAAAGCCACTCAGTTGTGTCTGACTCTTTGTGACCCCAGGACTGTAGCCCACCAGGCTCCTCTGTCCATGGGATTCTCCAGGCAAGAACACTGGAGTGGGTTGCCATGCCCTCCTCCAGGGGATCTTCCCCCTGCAGGGATCGAACCGGGTCGCCTGCACTGCAGGCAGACGCTTTACCGTCTGAGCCACCAGGAAAGCCAATGATAAATGAGCCTTGACTGAAAATAGAGAGAATGAACTGAACACATAAATTCCTATGGAGGCTTAAAAATGACTCCAAGAAAAGGACCAATAGAGATTAGACCCAGCCTCGGGGGCAAACCCATGCCACAGGGCAACAGACACGCCAAAGACGGGGCAGCTCTGCTGAAAACCTACCGTCAATTACTGGCCAGCGGCTACCAAGGCTGTGAGCCTGGAAGTCAAGGCCCTCAACATGAAGAGGGCCAGGGCCACCTCGGCCCTGACGGAGAGGCCCCCAGCAACTTCAGCACCCGTGTGACGGCTCTCCACGTGGAGCCGAGGCCCAGGAGCCACTCTACGCCCTGTGTGCTACGTTTCACGAGGCGGGGGGAGCTGCCAGGGGCTGAGAGGACTTTCACTCAGAGAGAAGTGGTGTCTGGCACGTCTGAGTATCTGAGTTAACTATCCGTCTGCCTGGAAATCCTGGCTTAGAGAAGCCTCTGCTCTATGCCCACATGGAGACTCCGCTGCATCCAGGCGACTGAGACAGAGCGGCCCGGCATGCGGGCGTGAAATCAGATCCAGGCGGCGGGGGTCCTGGTAGGCTTTTTAAGCCCATACTAAACAGTTTAACAAGCCGAAGGGCAATAGGGAAAAAAGAAGACGGCAGAAACTGGGAGAGTGCAGCACACGATAGGTAAGAGACTGGAACAAGGAGACTCTGAAAACAATCCCAGTGTGTGCGTGTGTGTGGGGGGGTCCCCCTAAATGCCACAGTAGGAAGGGTCTGCAGTGGCCATGAAGGGTACGCTTCCTCCCAGGCTCCGGCCTTCCAGCTTTGTGACTCACTTCTAGGGATCCTCTCTGCCCTGGTCCCTGAAATACTGCTCAGCCTTCCGTCCGAGGCCCTCTGCCCTCACCCACCCCTCGGGCTTCCCCCGCGCCCCCGGCCCCTCTCCACAGACCTGCGCCCTACAGGCCTCTGCTCCTCCACGTCCCCCGCCCCGTCAGACAGACACTGTCGGCAGCGGGGACCGGACACGTAAAAGGGACCGACTGAGGCGGCAAGAGAGCCCTGTTTCTAACCGAGGCGCCCGCGTCACCCCAACAGGATGCGCTGTGAGGCTGGAGCCCAGGAGGAACGCCCCCCCGCAGACCCCGCAAGCCCAGGTGCCAGCCTCACCTTTGAGTCGTAGGCCGACTGCTTGATGACTTCGGGCGCCATCCAGAAAGGGGTGCCCACGAAGGTGTTTCTCTTTATCTGGGTGTCTGTCAGCTGGCCCGCCACTCCGAAGTCCGCCAGCTTCACCTCCCCGTGCTCAGAGAGCAGGACGTTGGCAGCTGCGAGATAACACCGAAGACACCCTGATGGCAGCTGCTGGACACCTCCGTCCGCGCCCTTGGAAACGGGCTGGCGTGCCCTCCCAGAGCCATCAGAGGTCGACAGGAGCAGACAGTGGGTGAGAGCCCCTCAGAGCCCCCCACCCGCTCAGGCACGTCGAAGGCACCCTCCACGTGCCCACAGGACCACCTCCCTTAGAAGAGAAGCAGAGCTAAGATGCGACAACGAACCTTCCTACCCGCCTTGGGGATTTCAGAAGAACATAAACAGGATGCTTTCTTACCTTTAATATCTCTGTGAATTTTCTTCTCCGAATGCAAATAATCAAGTCCTTTCAGTATTTCTCTTAATATAGTAGCAATCTGGGTTTCATCTAAAGGGCCAGGTTCTAACTAACAAGAAAAAAAATAAAGATTAAGGTTACTTAAACGATTAGATGAAAAAGTATGAGATGACAGGACAGAGTCAATGTTAAATGGACAAGAAGAATCAAGATCGAAATCCTCTTCATTCCAAAACAGATATTTTGCCCACATAATTAAAACGTATTTAAAAAGAATCCCCCTCCTCGCCAAAAAAAAAATAAAAATATAAAGAATCAGAGAAAATGACTTTGCTGAATGAATCAAAGTGGGGCCAATGAGAAAGGCCAAGATCAGCTTGCCAAGCCTGCAGCCCGAGCAAGGAGGGAGGTCAGGCCAGAAAGCCAAGGCTGGCACCTCACAAGGCTTGCCAGGGAAGGGACCGGGCACAGTCCAGTTCTGTCCTAATACAGGCCACGGGTATCAAAACACGAGCCATCACAAAGAGAAGGCCCGGGAGCTGAAGGCTTTCCGAGGCTACCCCTGCACCAGAATTTTTTATTAATAAATCTGAATTTTAAACCTCAGGGGGAAGAGTGCAGAAAGGAGATCAACCCCTCACGATGGAATTTTTTTTGTTATGTGATACGACATGTATACCCACAAAGGGGTTTTCCTGGTGCCTCAGTGGTTAAGAATCCACTGCCAATGCGGTTCGATCCCCAGGTCGGGAAGGTCCCCTGGGGGAGGAAATGACAACCCACTCCACCATTCCTGCCAAGAAAATCCCATGGACAGGAGCCTGGTGGGCTACAGGGTCCTGCACGCCGTCACCACAGACCAGGACGGTTCACTATACACCTCAATCTGCAGAACCGAATTCCTCCCAAGCTATCCGACTCGGAATCTTGTTCTCAAGGAACACACTGACTGCTCCGAAGCACACAGTCTGGAAGCTCCGCCTTGTCTGAGTTCGTAGATTGTGGGAATTTTAATACTCAAGATGAAGAAAAATGCACTTTTCTCATAACCGGGGGCAAAAGAGGAAGGAGGCAGAGGAGCTGGCAGATGTGCCCTCCTTCCCGGCACAGAGCGCAGAGCTCACCCCGCCGTCCACACCGCTATCCCCGGGCAGGGCTTCCGTCTCCTCCGCCAGCACGGTCACCCGGGCAGACAACCCACAACATCTGGCTGGACCCCCTCCCTCCTGTAATCAAGCATCCGGAGAGGAATGGCAGGGAGGCCTGGAGGCATCACCAATGGAGGTAAGAGCTGAAACCTCTCCCCTGGGCCATTTGAGAGCTGGCTCTCTGACTGATGCATGGATAGTTATGCCCTTTGACGTCTGGCCCAGACACCACCCACCAGTGAGTCACAGGCGGCGGCGGGGAGAGAAAGACTATTTTATTCACAGAGCAGGGAGGCCCTTTGGGGGTCAAAATTCACTGTAAAGGGCGTCCAATTGTTCTCTGGAGCACTGAGCTCCTCAACTCGTGGGGACCCGCCTTCTCCACCACTAATAACACGTTTCCAAGTAGTCTCTTCAGTTAAGAGGACTGTGGAACTCTTCCAATCATCTCTACAAAACAAAGATTCGGGGGGCACGGGGGAAGGATGCGTACTGCTCCTCATCTCTAACAAAGAAAGGGAAGTCGCTCAGTCGTGTCCCAACTCTTTGCAACCTCATGGACTATAGCCTACCAGGTTCCTCTGTCCATGGGATTTCCCAGGCAAGAATACTGGAGTGGGTTGCCATCTCCTTCTCCAGGAGATCTTCCCAACCCAGGGATTGAGCCCCAGTCTGCCACATTGTAGGCAGACGCTTTACTGTCTGAGCCGCCAGGGAAGTCGCTCCTCGTCTCTGGGTGACCTCTGATCCCTCTCCCAAGTCTGTCATCCATCCTTCCTCTTATCATGAGACCCTCAGTCTGCAGGCGGCCACCCGACTACGGACCACATCTGCTGCCCTCTGCGGCTGCCAAGTCTGGCCCCGTGACCAAGCCCTCACCAAAGGACTATGAGCAGAGCCCCTTCCCAGTCCTAGCCTCGGCTTTGAAACACCGGCCGCCGGAGAGGACGAAAACTAAAGACCACGGGAAGTCACCCACCGCTGCGGGGGCCTGAAGGCCACTGAGCCCACGTGCGGGAGAGAACCGAACTTCCCATCTCGTGTGAGACGCTGCTTGGGGCGGCCATCAAGGAAGCTTGCCCTAACCATTAACGAGTGTGTCGCCTACTTCTTTTTTTTTTTTATTTAATCGCCTACTTCTTAAAACTCAGGCTGCATATTCGTTTCTTTAGTCTGTCAAACATCTCTCTGCCTGACTGAGTGCCTGGTTTATGCAGCCTTGTTCTTGCTGCGTGTGCACTTAGTCGTGTCCGAGTCTCTGTGATCCCCTGGACTGCAGGCCCTCCAGGCTCCTCTGTCCGTGGGATTTTCCCTGCAAGAATACTGGGGTGGGTTGCCATTTCCTTCTCCAGGGGATCTTCCTGATCCAGGGATCAAACCGTGTCTCCTGCACTGGCACTCGGATTCTTTACACTGCGTCACCTGGGAAACCCCCTCACATAATCCAGTTGCTTCATATAGCCCAGTTCCTTCTTAATTAGAGTCCTTAGATTCTGCTGTAATGCTGACATCTTGTAATCAGTGAAAAATCTCTGTGTCAGACCCTCTGTTGCTAATCCTCATTCCCCTTCTCCCAACTGACCTCACGCTACTTTCCTTTCCTTGGAGCACTTCCCCACACGCAGTATAATCCACTGTCTGCCTCCACTGGGAACCTCAACTCCAGATGAAAAGGAAGGAAAAGAAAGTGTTAGCTATGTGACATGCTCAAAGGTAATCTTGGGTGAAGTAAGGTGCTGTCTTCCTGCCCCAGGCTAAGGTGTCATTGAGACTAATGTCTTATAGCCTCAGTAAAAAGGCAAGATGACTAAAATGCAGAGTGAAAAAAGCCATCGGCCTGTGGCATTATGTTAGAGCAGCTCCGGTGTATGAAGACGAAGTTGTGCCTCTAAAGCGAGGAGGGCGCCAGTGAGACCTTTGTGCTCCGGGAAACAGCAGAGTGCTTCCCTTAATAAGACATGGCCAGCTCCCCCGACAGGCCACATGTATGGGGGCCGCTCCAAAGATGCACACAAACCTCTCGGCACCGTCCCTTAACAGAGAGACACTAGATAGATAAAGCAAGGTGGAATTTTCCAAAGAAATGCCCCAAACCCATTTATTCAACTACAGCCACACGCGTTTTTAAAATCTTGTATGAACACTTAATAGACTCTCTCAAAATAATCCTAATAATCCTCAACATTCAAAAAATAAATAAGTAATTCTTGTATCTCATTATTATTTAAGTTCATCTTCTTTGAGGACTGGGGTCAGGACAGAAAAAAAAAAAAAGAGGTAAGAGATTAAGAGAGAAATGACAAAGTCAGAGGGAGGAGTCAGGGCTTTGCAGCTGGTCACAATGTGCAAAGCCCAGCTCTACTTGCTAGCTGGGACACCTAATTTCTGAGTGTTTCTGTTTTCTCGACTAAGATAAGCTGTTTTGGGGACATTCAAAAAGGGTGCCTGGAGCCCCTGAGGTAAGAAGGTGGATGGCAATTTGCTGGGACTCACACCAGATGGGATTTTATCTAGCAAGTGGAGAATTCTACACTGCCTTGCAAACTGTCCTGTCCACAATTTCACAGACTTCAACTCAAAAATCCAAAGAAAGTCGCCACTAAATAAATTCAATTATGGTGGCATTAGAAATGAATAAATAAAGCATCTAGAGACTAGAACTGCTGCTCTGAAGAGCTCAGCGTTGGGAAAGCATCTCCACAAATAACTTCACACATGCCACAAATGAAATTCACTTAAGATAATAGAAAATCTAATTATACAAAATGAGGCAATTTTCTACATCTCTGTAGTAGTTCTCAAAAGAGTAAAAAAGAAAAAAAGAAAGCTCTTTGTGTAATACATGTATTTATGGGAAAGCAAAGCGAGTCATAAAACGTATCCAGCTGTTTTGCCACTTTTCCATTTTAATACAATTGTTGAGACTGTGTTAAATTTCTTTCCTGAAATTTCCTTTCGAACTCTATTTTGACCAATTGCTTTTATGGTTTATAACATTTTGTGATTTTTTTGTTTTTAAACTTGGGTACCGAGCCTTCCATAATACACACAGTTTTAGAGGTTTACCTTCCCCCCGCAGTCAGGGAAAAGAGTGCTGATTAGGCTGATTTCACTGCATGACCACGTGGGGGTGAGATGTCAGGGGCTAAACAGCCGTGTGAGATCTTTTAGTCTTTGTTTTGCATATACTGTGTTTCAAGGATGATCCAAGTAAATGCTTATGAGCTGCTGGTGATCTCTGAGCATCTCACCTGAGGCTAAACGTAACCATGTTTTACCATGAGAAATGAATCGCAGTCTGTGACTCTGAGGTCATCCTACACCGAGCTGCCACCACCGCGTGCGGAGGCCAGGCAGCCGGGCCCAGGCCAGGTAGGACACACCGCCGCTGGCAGGGGTCAGCTCCCCCAGAAACACACTGCGGGCGCAGCGAGGCCCCTCTGCATGTGCCCCCAGGAAACAGACACGCGCGTCCACACGTGGCCTGACCACCGCTCCCACGTGTGATGCTGTGCCTGTCTCTTACCCCTGAAACCAAATTTTAATTTTTAAAAATTCTAATGAATTATAAATGAAAACGCTCCACGCGTGTTTTAGAAGTGAAGTTACCATCTGCAATGGGAAACAATGATGGTGCTTGAATGCCACAAAGTTCAAACCAGTTTTAGAAAATTAGAAACTGTTCTGAGGTCGGACAGGGCAGGCAACACCTTTTGTGGCTGTGTGGAATGAATTCACTGGTTTCCCACGATACAGCAAAAACTGGCTTCACAAGGGAACCTCTACTTTTCAGCAACGTGTCAGGAGCATAAATCCCTATTATANGAGTCCGGCCCTGGGGGTCAGCCAGGAGGCGCCTGAAGTGCAGCGCCGGGGACGGGCCACCTCCCTCCGGCCTGCCGCTCTGAGCCGCGCAGGGGGGCAGGTGGCTTGGCTGGTGCGGGCGGTCCCCCAGGAAGGCCGCATGCCCTCCCCGGAGACCTCC